TTGCATTGTAAGCTTCAGACACAAGACTTCCACTGTGCTTGGTGTTTGAATTCTCAGCACCTAGGACAGTAGTGCTATCCAGGTACATTCCCATCTACACACAGACGGGAATGCAGGCTGAAGTTCAGCTTGAAATCTGACTTTTAGGTTTGAACTAAACAATAAGCAATCGATTTGTTGAAATGAGAGTAGAAGTGGAATTATAATGGGATACAGGAACTGGATGGATGGACAGTGTTGACTGTTCTCTTTCTTTCTCTCTGCCTCATTCCCATTTTTTCTCCTAGCTGTCTTGAACTTGCTTTCTCTTACTCTATCTTTCCTCTTCTGTTTTCTCTCTCATGCTTTTTCTCGTCTTGAACTGACCATGAGCTAAAACTTAAAAATATTTTTTATAGTCTATTGTATTTTAGGTTTAGGTTATATTTTTTCAAAATATAAATGTAGCTAAGGTTTGTCCTTCTTTTATGCACTCTTGAATTGATTTTCCCCATTGGCTCATGGTAGAAGATTCACCCTGTGAGACCTGCACTGTGTGTCCCCAGGAGAGTAGGACAGCTGAGCGAATTTGGAAAAGTATCTGAGGAGAGCAAAATGGGTAGAGGCGGGAGCAGGGGTTGGGGGGGCTTCCTTCAGGCCACTGAGCCTTCGGATTGGACTGTGGTGGGAGGGGTTTATGAAAATGATGGCACAGATACCTCAAGCGCAGCTAGGTGGCGCTAGAGAGCTGAGTGAAATGGATAAAGAGGTGAGCTGACCAAGCAGCATTCTCCACGGGCCCTCAGGAAATGCCTGAGTGTTTATGTCAAACACAGAGGTTATTACCGGCAAGGAGCCAGCCTTTGTGACTTGAACGTGAGCCATCCCCCCACACGCCTCCTCCTCTCTTCCACCTCTGACAGCAGGTGGGTCCTGAGGTAGGACATTGTTTTCTCCTCTAAATCCCCAAAATGTTTCATCCGCTCCTCCGTGAAAGTACTTAGGACTTTGTACTCTGCCTTAGAGTTGTCTGATATGTCAGTGCCCTTCATCGACAGGTGAGCTTTTTAAAGGAAAACTTTCTTCATTTATTTCATGTATTTATCCATCCATTTATTAAGTGCTGGGAACATGCAGTTCAACACATGGCCCCATCTGTAGGTCCATCTCTAGTTTGGAGCAGTTGCGAAAGGAATAATAATACCTGATAAGTGTTTGAGGAAGGCATGTTGCATGATGCTGACGAAGGGGTACCCCAGCCTGTCTGAGAACTTGATGACATCTTCTCAGAAAATGGTATGTTCGGGCCCAGTCCCGTAGGAGGAGTAAGAGTTCCTTGAGCAGATTGGGGTAGGGCAGTGGGTGGCCTTTCAGATGGGAGAACATCATGACCAGAGGCAGAGAGGTGAGTGAGAGCACAGGGTATGTTTGGAGCACCACAAGTCTTTGCACTTTTTGAAGCACAGATTGAAACTAGGGGAGAGTGGCATGAGGTAAGAGAGGCACATGGGGTGAACTTCTCAAGGCCCTGGTGTGTCCTATTGAATACTTGAGATTTATTCCTGCCGTATTAGTTTCCTGTTGCTGCTGTAGCAAATTACCTCAAATTTCGTGGCTTAAAACAGTGCAAATGTATCATGGTTCTGGAGATCAGAAGTCTGAAGTGAGTCTTATTTGGCTAAAATCAAGATGCCGGTAGGTCTGCGTTCCTTCTGGAGGCTCTAGGGGAGAATCTGTGTCCATGCCTTTCCCAGCTTCCAGAGGCCACCTGCATTCTTTGGCTCATGGCCTCTTCCTCTGTCACCAGAGCCGGCAGTATGACATCTTCAGATCTCTTTCTGACCTTTATTTCCATTGTGACATCTCTTTTTCTGACTCTGTCTCCCCTGCCTCTCTCTCGTAAGGACTCGTGATTACATTGGGCCCATTGGATAATCCAGAAAAATCTTCCTATCTCAAAATCCTTAAGCATGTTTACAGAATCCCTTTTGCCATGTGAAGTAACATATTTACAAGTTCCAGGAATTAAGAGGGGAACACTTTGGGGAGGGCCATTATTTAGCCTACCATACTCACATAGGTCAGAGGCTGAGAAAATTGGAATATGCCTCCCCTTCTGGAAGAAGGGTCATGGAGAGGTCTTGAAACTGTGACCTGAGGATCATTTATTGCCATATTCCTGAAACCTAAATAGTCAAATCTTAAGGACCAGGATCTTAACAAACGGGAATTAAGGAAGAGTGAGCTTTAGTCAAAGGGCACCCTGGCTCCACCCGGCCAGCTTAAGGTGAGACAGATCAAAAGCCTTGAATGTGCCCTTACACCCGTGTTGAGCAGTTCTCCCAGCAGCCCTGCAGAGAGGGCTCAGACTGAGGGTACTGGAGAAGAGAGAAAAAGCTGTACTGCTAAGGAAATGAGGAGGCCCTGAGAGGGAGTGGAGATACTGTGACACTGCTAGGGTCAGTGCTAGGAGGACAACACGAGATTTGCTCCATCCGCTCATGACCATAGAGTGACCCTGTGGTGCCAGGGTCCAGGAACTCCTGAGTAAGGTCGTAAGCTGATGGCGTTCTAGGGACGAGGCCTTTAGGAAGGGCATCGGAGGGGGCAGTTCCCGGCCTGACCCAGCACAAGTCACACAGATTCCTGATAACGTTGAGGTACTCATGCTAAATCAACAGAGGACTCAAGAAGACTTGGGTGAGCAGGTGGTGTTGAAATTGCTGGATGGATTTAGAATCCTACATGAGATTTATCAAACATAGGTTAGTAAATGTTTAATGAGTGAGCAAAAAAGGCCCAGGATCCCTGTGAGGCTCCCGCAGACACCTCAACATCGTTTCTAGAGCTAAGGTACCAGAGCGCCCGCCGTACATCCCTGGGATTCTCAGTTATTTAGTTACGAGAATTCCTAAGGGAAAAAAGAGAAGCCTCCAGAACTGTGGCTCCCTCTGGCGTCCACATCTCTGGCATTCACCAGGTAGAGGCAGAGTCCCAAAGGCTCAGGACCCTGCCCCCATTTGTGAATGTTCTATGTTCAGCTCCATGCCTGTTAAACTAAACCAGTTTCCATAAGTTGTTTCTCAAAACTGGTTTCTCCTGAGAATCTTTCC